CAGACCAGGGTTGTAAGTCCTGCTGCCAGACCTGTTTCTGTGTTAACATCTTTTAATCTAATAATGATTCAGCATCAAAACTAGAAAGAGTTCCAGAAAGCAAGGACCAAACTCTGTTCTGTTAACTGAAAGGAGCCAAGATAATTTAATATCCTTTTATAAGGCAGACTCTCATCTCCTGCTTTCTTTGGAATTTTCTCCACATTTGTTCCAGACTAAATGAATCTTTCTTGAACACAAGGACCTGTTCCAGATTTCAACTTTGTTTTCCACTTCTGCTAGCCTAGTATTTTGATTCCTGAAGTGGAAGTTTTCTCTCTGAGACTTAAGAGATATGAGCCAAAGAGCCAGCAAAGCCCACCACAGCACTCTGCTTCCAATTCATCCTGCTAGTGCAATGGAATGGCTCTGTAACTCTGCAGCCAAATTTTCTCCCTTTGGTATCAGCATGTTGTTATGAAGGCTGTTATCACCAGTACATTCCTAAAACATCTTTCTCCAGGGAATTCAGTCAACACCCATGTACTCACAATACCTACGCATCACTTTTCTTCCTTCCACAGGAATCCATTACCTGGACAAGTCAGGCCAGATTGGGTTTCCCTGCTTAGCTGGCTCTGGAACAGGTTTTGTAGTGCCAAAGACCACTTTATGGGAAATAAATCTTGGCCATAATGTCAAATAACAAACTGTAAGTCGCAGGGAGTGATTCCAGCATTACTCAACAGTTGGAATTTGAAAGTGTGGGGAACATGAATGTTGGTCTCACCTTCCTCTCGGTAAGTCCGCATCATCCTTCTTCCACCGGACCGTGGGTGTGGGATCCCCCTGCACCTGGCACCGGAAATCCACAGCCTCCTCCTCCAGCACCACCTGGTTAATCGGTCGCCTGAGAAACGTGGGCCGTTCTTGAAGAGAGACATTAAAATTCCTTGGTGAGTCAGAGGGTTGAAATGAACACTTTCGACTTTTCAGCATCTTTCTGTTTAGCAATTCACAGAACGAAGAAAGGAGGCTGAGCTCCACAAATTCAGACAAGTGGAACTGATGATGTGCATAAAGAACCTGGAAAACTCCAGGCTGGAGAGCCACGGGCTGTTGCATCTGGCCCTCACATGGGCGCTCAGTGCCAGCAGAAGGAAGCCTGTCCTAGCACTGACTACCCACACGCCACATAAGGGGAGAGGTCTCCAAGGCCGTGCCCTTCACCATGAATGTTTTGGCTCTGCACTCCTGCATACATACAGCATGATCTAAAAGCTCCTTCCTGCCCTAGCGATGTATGAGCTGCCAATGGAGATATCCTGCCTTTGGCAATAATCAATATCTTGATGCTTCAGAGGAAAACATGAACTCTGTGTTATGAATCTCAGCCAATTGTGGACTGTTCTACAGAGGTCAGAGCTTCCCTGATCCCCATCACTAACTTCACCATGGAAAACTAAATTAAGATCTGAATAATAAGTTCTGTTTACCCTTGTTATGTTAGCCTGCACAGATACAAACATTATTAATCATCATAATGTTGTGCAGGCCTGCTTAAAATCCAGATGTAGAGCCACAGTCTCATCTCAGTTATACTGGTACAAACTCAAAGTACCGGTAATTTCATTTGAAAGGATGTCACTGGGGTTAGTTTCCAAGTCGCCTTTGGATTGCATGAATTTTGTTCTGTCCTCTCCTAGCCACACCACACTTCTATTGTCATAAATCATTTATGCTAGTCAAACCATTGTAACACTGGCTTTATATGAAACAGTATCTCAAGAGAGGGCTTTATTATAAAGATATCTAAAACTGGTTACACGCTACTTTTCACATTTCATCCTCAGCAAGTCGCAGGGTTTCCAACCCTAACTATTCTAGGATTCTATGATGTCACTGAAAAACTTCCCCAAAATTCACAAAGATGTACATGGTAACAGATACTGGCTCAGGCAGTTTGTCTTGATAACTACAGAGCTGAGTTTATGGGTTGGCTATCCACGTTTATTATACACTAACAATAGTAACAACAACAATACCAACGTTAAAAGAACATTAATAACATTGCAAAATCAAGCACACAGCACCTCAGCGCCAGAACTAAGGCTGTCTGTGTGCCCTTTAATCACTCCCTTTCATTTATGCCTTACAGGACTGGCTGCAGTTACATGATCGCACACTATTTTTTCCCCAAACATCTTTAGATTGTTGGCACTCAGTTAATGAGCAGGTGTTTAATATTTTGCTATTGTTGTTCCATTTAGTGGGTGGCCTCCTGTCATACTGCTCAAACGTCACTTCAAAGGCAGAATTATTAATTTCCTCATGACCTCCACTGCACCCATCAATGCTTTATAAACAATTCTCTTATTTTCATAGCTCCTCTCTGAGCTGCAATGGAGAGCTAAGAAAGCAAGGGAGAAAATATGTGCTAAATTTTGATGCTCAACCTGAAACACAAAACTGCCCTTTTTTTTTCGGGAGGGGGGAGGGTGAAATTTAGCAGTAATTTTTAATTCAGTTACAGCCACTAAAATGTTCATCACTTGCACACATCAGAATATTAAGTCAGAAAATAAGGAACACAAAACCACCTGTTAATTATGTAAATGAGTGACAGCATCACACAGGGATTCCATGATATGAGCAGAGGGACCTATTGGCAGGGAAAACATATTTTGTCAGCAGAATAGACATGCTCTAGAATCCATAGCACTTTTCCAGATGCTAGAGATAAAAACACGTCTAACGGGCAGAGATTCTTCTGCCCAGTTCTCCCAAGCCATTGCTATTGTTCTACGCCTAGTCCTGCTCAGGACCTGCAGGTTCCATTAGTGTTTGGGCAAGTAAATTCAGTTCTGGTCTCTCTCTCTGCACCTTGGAGTCTGTCTTTATTCCCTGTTTCAAGTCTGTGTACAAGCCATATACAACCTTCACTACAGCTCCTTGTCCTGAGTGTTCTTCATCAGATTTTTCCTTCCACGTGTGTACTTTCCCGACCCTTCCCCAGCTCCAGCTAGGTTTGCTACTACCCTCACCTATGTGTCTTTGCCAGCCTGTAACAGTGCCTCAAGCCCCTCTTCATTCCAGCCACTGGCTGTGCCAGATCTTTTGAGCTGATGACTGCTTCCTTATTCCTGACTTGCCTGCTCCCAGCCCAGAATATTGCTTTCCACAATGTTAACCGAAGAAAATCTGGTTGAAGTAACCAAGCATCATCTCAAGAGAGTGACAGCAGCAGGAGTGCAGTGCAGTTGCAGGAAAATGAAGTTCAGACCTGCATTCTACCTTGTCTCTCTGATGTATGAATTGATGATTTAGTCTCTGTTTAGGTAGGGGCATGTTTGGCCAAATTTAGTGAAAATTCTTTGGACAAGCAAAAAAAACCCACTGCATCTCTGGCATAGTGTAGCCATTTCCCATCAAATTTTAGGTACCAGCTATTCAATATGAAGGACCTGCACCTCTCAGGACAAAAAGCGTCCTCCATTCCTCTCCTTCAAATCCTTCTCCGCTTCCCTCCAATTACCCCCTTCACCTCCAAACTGCAGGAACTTCAACATTCTTAGAAAATAATTATTTTGGTAATCTAAAAAAGATTAAAAATTCAGTCTTCAAATCCAGCATTGAAGATTTTGGACAAAGCCTTTTAGTTTGACAAACTTATTAAAACTGGACAAAGTAACAAAAGCATTAGTTGTTACCCTTAATGCTAAGCCATGCACTCGGCCTGTCTGTAATTATGTGGATCTAGAATGGAATACCTTAATGAAACTTCTGTAAGTTTTCAACAGTACCTTATTCTCAACTTCTCTCCTAAGAGAAGAGCTCAGACCAGCCCCTGCTCTGAGCTCATACACAGCACACTCTACATTTTGGTATTTGTTTTTCAAGAGATCATCCTACACCACGAAATTTAGATCCAGATCAGCATCCTCAATAGGTGATTCAGAGACCCTGGTTTGTCCACGCTGAATTTAAGTAACTCTGCATTGTGCCTGCATGTTGGCTTGGTCTGCAAAAATGATTTTAGACCATGTTTATAAAAGCTGCCTTTAAACAGGTAAGAAACTAATGTATGCGTATTTATGAAACTGCTGCTTGTGGCTGTAAATCCTTCTATACAGGAGATGAGAAAACAAATTCCTGTCACATTTTGAGGAGAACCCAGCTGAAAGACAGGAAATGGCCCAAAAGTCATTAGGTAAATCACTTGATTCCACATCAAGGATTTGATGAAATTAGGAGTATACACACACGCTTCTCAAACTGTGTATTTCCCAAATCAGTTAAGAAATTGCTAGAAAATAAATAGCTATGTAAGTACAGATCCCAGCTGGCAAGGACATGCGAATATCAGTAACTGTTCTTTCCATTTTCCATCATCTCTGCATTTTGTACAGGATGAATCAGGAAAGAACGAGTTCTCTCTCATGTTGTTTCCTGGATTTGTATCACTCAGACAACCCTGTGAATATGTCCAATAGCTAATTATACAGCTATAAAGTGATCAGAGTGAATGCCATTGCCAATGCAATTAACATTCTTTATGTGAGATTAACTGGATTTGAGTCACCTGCATAACTTGCTTACAATGTTAATCTCTCAGGAGACAGAGCGCTGCTTGCCCAGGCATGCTAAATAAAGAAGGTTTCTTCACGCAGCCAGATCAAATTTAGTTTTGGAGCTAAACTTGAGAAAAATGATTTGTATTTTTTCTCCTTCGAAATGGTTTGCCCATAAATAAAGCCTTGTGGTATAATTAAACATTGTTACTCTGTCAACAGCATTCAGAACACAATATATTTGAGAAACAAGAAGAAAGGGCAATAAATTAAAATCACAGACATATATAAAAAATTTAATATTGCAATTTTATAAGCTTTCACTGAGTAAATAAAGTACCTACTTCCCAGACTTTTCTCTGATGAATATTAAACATCTTTGAAGAGAACTATAAAATGGGTCATGGTTATATGTCATGTCAACCAGTCGTTCCATTACTCGAGTGACCTTTATAACTTCAGAATAAACTTTGCTTGCAGTTATAAAAGGGGATTGTTAATTCAATCTGGACACACACCTACAATCTGTTGCAGTGCTTGAGATCTGCACTGCAAGAAAACCTACAACACTGAGCCTAACCAGAAACACAAGAAAATCCTTTCTTTGCTTTGGGTGCTGACACAAGTTAACCCCACAACTCAATTCTTCCTCTATTTAACAACTGGTCTGAGTAACACAGTCTATTAGAGAGACTCAGATGACCTTCAGATGTATTATTGCCCTTTCTCTGTTCCTCAAAAAGTTAGACAGCCATATATGGGACCTCAATCTAATTAGAATGATCCTTAATATATTTTCTTTGCTGAGGCAACTGCTAGAGTAAAGGATTTGATGGTGCCCATAATGTAGAGGCTCAATCTGATTTAGAACTGTTTTCTCTGTCTCTGCTGGAAAGAAGACATCGGGGTTTTTTAAATGTGTTTGTGTTTTAGAAAGAAGTATTAAAACACAAAGTAAAAGGCTTTGGGGAGGGATTTAACTGCAAATAGTTAAAAATAAAAGTTTTTTTCAGATACTGTTCTGATGGAAAGGAAAAAAAAGAAACACTAGATGGCTGGAAGTATGTTTCACTTCAGAATGCTGCCAATAGCTCAGATATTTCATTAACTGCAACGTGGTCTGGACAAAGTAAAGCTTTCTGCCAAAAATGAAGATGTAGAAGAAGACAGGATATAAGGATCACACTGAATTTACCTATGTCGGCCAAATAAATGAAAAGACAATTGCAAAAGCAGATGGTTTTCTATTTAAAGACATTCTTCTACTGCCTCTTTTTAGGCACTTCACCATTTTTCATTTGAGAAATTAGCACTCCTGTAGACATTGCAACCTTCTACACTTTAAACAGTACCCAAGA